TTTTCCAAGATTTGTTGCTCAACCTACAGTCCATCAGTTGCGGATAGGCTGGTAGAACTATCCTCCTCCCAAGGTCGTCCATACGTACTACTTTTTCTCTATATTGATACATCACTTCAATTGGTTTCGTTTCTTCCTGGAAGATCACTACCACACCAGATGGCAGATGGTTTTTCGTCCCCTCAGAAGAGAGTTGCCAAAGATATCGATTGTTTACTGGATTCGGTTACTGCTTACTTGAAAATCTGTTAACTCATACCATTTGAAAAATCGGATAATAAATTAAGGGGAGGTCTTGATGCCAAAGCCGGCTTCTCTCTCCTCTTATTCGGGCACAGAAAGAACAACCTAAACTATGATGTCTCAAAAAAACTCGTGTTGCACGTGCATGAGGTAAATAGAAGATAGCGTACTGGCATAAAATAACTGCCTTTAAAAGTCTGCGTAGTTTTAGCTTCATGCAACACTTACCCTCGTATCTGTGTCTAAGGTTCCGAGGGCCAACAAAGATGTCAAATCCGATTACCATCAGCCCTCCACTAGATCCGCAGGATATTTGGACATTTTCAAAGCTTACATCAACAGTTAATATAGGGGGTGAGTTGGTCAGTGTAACTGAATTAACACAAGGACTGGGTAATTAAACTTCTAAAGGCGGTCACTTTGGCCAATTTACGCCATTCCACACTCCAAGTTAGCACAGCTAGTCTCCTAAAAGGAGCCTAGATGGTTGGCAATCCTAACCTACAAATGACAGCTGTGGCCACACGAGAAGAGCAACTAAACTCGGTAGGTATCGTAAGCAGCTTATAGAACATGAGTACATTTCCAATTTCTGTGTGACCGTTCTGATGTTTCAAGGAACGATCCGCAACTAGTCCTTGCTAATTTATGGTCTGGCCCGCTGACGGATACCTTAAACTAAGATTTAGACGAATGTAATATTAAATAATATATCCGCGGTTCAACCTCGATCACAGTCACAAGAAACGTGTGCGTTGTGATAAGTTGAGTCCCGAAGTCCGCAAACCGGCAATTATAGGAATATTCGATTGCAAAGTAGCAATGGCAAATGTGTAACGTGGATGAAACAATGCTGACGAACGGAACAAACAGTCCGTATGGATGAGACCTTCGGGCACGTTAGCACCCTATCGATGATCCTATTAAAATAAGTCATTGCCCCGAGATTCGGAAAAGCTTTATCAGCATTTTCATCGAATATTAACGACACTGTTGGCTAACTAACTCAAGTTATTCCGGTCTGCAGAATAACATGTAACAGATGAAGGAGACCATTCAGTCGGTCAATATATTTGCTGAGAAAAGTAAATAAACTTTCAGATATTTATCTGGCGTTGCCTCTGATTATGGCTGGGAGCTTGAAAAAGATCATTTCAAGCGAAGACTGAAGGAAGCATTGTCAACAAAAAAATATGTTCGCAAGGATCTTGCAGGCCTTCAAATGTGCATACCGCCCAGGCTCTATTTCAATCACACCAAGGCCCTAAGTATACTAGACACCCGATCAGCTAGTCCACCTGTAGGGTTTTTAATTGGTGGTTGTGCGCATTAAAAAATGGAAACTGGAGACATT